AAATTCCCATCCCGGCCTCCCCATCCCAAAAAAATTCCCTTCCCGGCCTCCCCTTCCCGGCTTTGTGCTGAGCGCTGTCCCCTCGCCGCAAAAAATGGGTGTAAAAATGATCAAAATTCGAATTATTGGGTGGAATAAGCAGAACTCGCATGTCCTCGTGGTTAAAATTGGCATAAAGTGATAAAAATTCAAATTATTGGGTGGAATAACCAACACTCGACTGTCCTTGTGGTTAAAATTGGCTTAAAATTATGGAAATTCATATTATTGGGTGGAATAACCAGAACCCCCTGAATCTGCAGTTAAAATTGCCGAAAAATTATCAAAATTCAAATTATTGGGTGGAATACCCAGCACTTGCCTGTTCCCATGCTTAAAATTGGCGAAAAATTATAAAATTTCAAATCACTGGTTGTAAATAACAAGCACCTCGCCACCTTGCCTGTCCCCACTGCTCAAATCAGCGCAGAAATGATCAAAATTCGAATTATTGGCCAGAAATAACGAGCACCCCTTATTTCCATAGTCAAAATCTGCATTAGAAATGATCAAAATTCGAATTATTGGACAGAAACAACCAGCGCGCACCTGTCCCCGCCGTTCAGATCAGTGTAAAAGTGATAAAAATTGGAATTATCGCATTTCCCTCCCGGCACGCGCACGAGTTCACACCCAAACACGCAGACGTGTGATTCGGGATGGGTGTAGGGTGGCGGCCGGTCCGTGGGATCGACTTTGGGATGTTCCTTGTGGGATTGGATTTTGGGATCCTTGAGGGATCTGGGTTTGGGATCCTCCTTGTGGGATTTAAGATCCTTGTGGGATCTGCCTTTGGGATCCTCCCTGTAGGATCCATGTTTGGGATCATCCTAGCGGGATCTGCCTTTGGAGTGCTCCTCCTCCCTGTAGGATCTGCCTTTGGGATGCTCCTCCTTGTGGGGTTTGAGTTTGGGATGCTCCTCCTTGTAGGATCTGCCTTTGGGATGCTCCTCCTTGTGGGGTTTGAGTTTGGGATGTTCCTTGTGGGATCTGTGTTTGGAATTCTCCTTGTGGGACTTGAGGTTGGGATCCTCTTCCTTGAGGGATCTGCAGCTGGGATCCTCCATGTGGGATGTGACTTTGGGGTCCTCCTTGAGGGATCTGGGGTTGGGATCCTCCTCCTTGTGGGATCAAGTTTGGGACCCTCAAGGTGAGATCTGGGTTTAGGATTCTCCTTGTAGGATCTGTCTTTGGATCGTCTTCCTTGTGGGATCTCCACTTGGGATCCTCCTTGTAGGATCTGCCTTTGGGGCCCTCCTCCTTCTGGGATCTGCCTTTGGGATCCTCCTCCTTGTGGGATGTCACTTCAGGATCCTCCTTGTGGGACCGGAGGAGGAGTTGACCTGATCTTGGCTTTGGGTAACGAAGAGCAGCCCCGCCATTCCCCGCGGTTCAAATAATCATTAAAAAATGATAAAAATAAAATTATCCCGTTCCCCTCTCTGCACTCACACGAGTTCACACCCCAAACACGCACAC